AGCCGGGCTCAGGGCGGCGCGTGCGCCCCGCCGGGCTTCGCTCCCCGGGCGGGAAGGCCGCTGCGTGCTTCCCCGCAGTGTTTCTGAGAGGGCTGCAGCCTTGCCCTTGGAATACTGAAATTCTCAGTGCACGGCCTGAATTCCTCTGTTAGTGTCGTTGATCGTCCAGTTCTCAGTAGGAGAACGTTCGTTTTGTGGCCTGTAGTGTCTTTCCTTATACGCTCGGGTTTTAGGTCTGTTTTACTTTTTCTGGTTTTATTTTTTTAGTCTTCTTGAGACCGGGTTTCGCTCCGCCCCTGCTTCTATAGCACTGCCCGTAAACGGCAGAATTACTCTTGCGTACGGCTGTGCTAAGTCTTTGGTTGAGTAAGGTTTTTCTTTCCTCTCACAGCTGCTGGAATTAGTCTCCCAAACTAGAACCAAGCTGAGCAGCAGTGACTCGCTCGTTGTTTCAGACCTTCCAGCCGTGGGCTGTGTCCTTTAGGCCGTGCGTACACTGATACCAGTTAATGTATCATCCTGTACACCGTTTAGCTGTAGTAGAAGTGCTTCTGTCGTCCAGCGACAGTTTCAAGAGGGGTTGCACACAAGCGGTAGGAAAAGCTGTGCCTCTGACGGTTGCCTTTCCCGACGGATGCCATGCACCCAGGTTGGGCCCTGTTTTGCTCCTCTGAGCTTCAGGTAGAAGGGGCCTTGCTCTGGACGTCAGGTTAGGATGGAGGTGGCTTGCTCGCCCATGCTAACCTAAAGCACAGAATTTCTTAACTACGTTTGTATCTCATTAATGTTTCACAACATTTGTTTTACAATCTGTTGATGGTTGTTATGTTTGTGTGATGAATGCCCAGTTCGTTGTGGGAGAAGATGAGCATAAAGAAATAGGTAAACCTGTGAAATTTTCTTCTTAATAACATTTGTTTAAAAAGATGAAGAATGAATTATATCATTCTAGTGTTTGACATAAACTGTGTTAGGCACCATTGTTTTTCTTTAAATATTTTTATGAAAGCTTATATATATCCTGAGGAAATTCCTTAAGGAATATAGAGCCATTTCCTGTGAAGTGTAGATAATCTTTGTTTTAAAATATATTATCCTAAGGTATGCCAGTGCTTTGTAATTATCCGGTATACAGACTAATTGAGGCCCCCTAGTCAATTCAGTGGTACATTTTAATGATTTTGTGATCTGGGGATGTTTTTGCTAGTGATAGAGGAGTCTATGAATTTTCCATCGTGCCCTTCCTGTCCTCTCTACCCTTGCCTGTCACTTCTTGCCAACCTTACCATATTTTTTTTAGGCAGCATCTGTACAGACTATTTTTAGTCTAAAGGAAAATTCATGTCTGAAAGTGTCTAGAATTGAGAACAGAGTAATTTATTGCTTAGTGAGCAGTTGCAACTGCTTTTTTTATGATGCTGATCTTTAAAGCGTCCAGTTAGCACCATCATTTAATAAGAGAAGCAGAGAAAATGTATCCTAGAAGCTTTACTATATGTGATTTGGATGCTAGTTTTTTATTTTTATTTTTTATCTTCTTGAAACAGGGTCTCACTGTGGAGTTCAGGCTGGCCTTGAGCTCACTTTGTAGCCCAGGCTGGCCTCAAACTCTCAGTGATTCTCCTGCTTCAGCCTCCCAAGTGCTAGGATTACAGGCATGTGCCACCACACCTGGCTAATAAATGTAATAGAAATTCTTAACTTTGAATATATGAATGAACTTGGGTGGGTGGCCCACAAATCTGCTGAAAGTGCATGTGATGTCAGGTGAGTGTCCCTGTGTTTTTCTAGGTCAGGATTTATACCTTTATCAGATTATCAGGATGGTTCTAAGATATCAAGTAGGCAGTGTGATTTTTGATTTTTTTTTTTTTTTTTTTTGGTACTGGAGATTGAACCCAGAAAGTACGGAACTGCATCCCTAGCACTCACTTCCTCCTTTCCCTCTTTGAACCTAGGGCCTTTACACAGAAATATATCCCTACCTTTTTTTTTTTTTTCATTTTGAGACAGAGTCTCGCTAAGTTGCCCAGGTCAGGCTTGAATTTTCAGTCTTCCTGCCTTAGCTTCTCGAAGTGTTAGGATTACATGTGTTTGCCACCATGTCCAGTTGGTTTTCTTTGTTTGTTTTTTTGTCTGTTTTGAGACAGGGGCTCACTATGTAGTTCAGACTGGTCTTGAACTCACTATGTAGCCAAAATTGCATTTGAACTCTGGTAAGCCTTCTGCCTCAGCCTCCCAGATGCTGGGATGACAGACATGGGCCACCATGCCTGGCTTGTTTTTTGTTTTTTGAGGCAGGGTCTCACTGTGTAGCCCAGTCTGGCCTTGAACTTGCAGCCTTCTGCCTCGGCCTCTGCCTGGGAGTATAGACATAATCTTCTTGGTACCAGCCTTTGTTTTTGTTTTGTTTTTTCTGGTACCAGGAATCGAACACAGGACCTTGCGCTTAGCAGGCAGGTGCTGTGCTGCTGAGCTAAATTAAACTTTACCATTTTAATTTTTTTTTTTTTTTTTTTTTTTTTTTTTTTTGGTATCAGGACCTTGTGCTTGCCAGGAAGGGGCTTATGTCACTGAGCTGTATCCCCAGCCCTCCAGCCCTTTTTTGTTACTTCTTTTGAGACAGGGGCTCACTAAATTGCCCAGTCTTGGTTTAAACCTGGAATCCTTTGGCCTTAACCTCCTGGGTAGCTGGATTGTAGGTATGTGTCACTGCACCTGGCAATGTGAATGTTTTTTGTAGTTTAGAAATTGTTTTTCATATTAAAACCATAATACACTAATTATTGATTTTTTATTATTCTTGCTTGGTCTGCTGAACTTGGACCTGTATGCATATTGACTAAACTATAATTTTGTGCTCTAGGACTTCTAATAATTTGAGATTGTTGCTATTCTTGATGTGCTAGAAGTTACAGAGTTTGCATTGTGGGAGGGAGTTTATGATATAAATGGCAAATGTTCAGAGATGGAGAGAAGCGATTACTGTGGCTACTTTGGTTGAGCAGTTGCGTTCACCTGTTAAAAGAAAAGGTAAAAATAATAACTATTTTTTTTTTAGACAAGGTCTCATTATGTAGTCCAGGGTGGTGTTGAACTCACTATGTAGCCTAGCCTGTCCTCGTTTTTTTGTTTTTGATACCAGGAACTGAACTCAGGACCTCATGCTGGCCAGGCAGGCTCTCTGCAGCTGAGTTACATCCCTAGCCCTAGGCTGTCCTTGAACTCACAGTGATCCTCCTGCCTCAGCTTCCTGAGTGCGGGGATTACAGGCGTGCCCCACTACGCCCTGCGCAATAACTAATGTTTTTAAGTGCTTTACACTTATAATCACTTTGACTCATCACAGTAACCGTGAGGGAGGCCGATTATTATCTTTATTTTACAGATTGAAAACTGAGGCCCAAAGTTGAAGCACTTTCCCTAAGGTCACTTTGAGAGCTGGTAGGTCGGGAAGCCAAGATTTCAGGACGGCGCGGCTCCACAGCTCTTTTCTGTGGGGCAGTCTGCTGGCCCACAGGTGGCTTTGGATGTGCAGTAAAAGTCTCTCTCCTCAGTTCCTTGAATGGTTAGGAGCAGTCCCCCCAGCAAACAGATTCCCAGCATTTAAAATTTGATGGTCGCAATGAGCTTATTACAATTTTAAAAGCAGGTAGTATTTATAATATTAGCAAGATGGGAATGCAGTAGGGCAAGTAGTAAATCTATGTCTAATTAGATTTAACATCATCATCATTCCAACTCATGACTGCGAGGAGGAATACAATGTAAGCTAAAATAGAAGAGCCCTTCTTTCTGAAATGTAATTGCACGTCTTCAGATAGTCTGGAATTCAAATTGAGTATTACTTCACTGGCTCCTTAGCGTAAATTCTTTGTACTTATTTAAGAAAGCTCTTTCTCGTGAGGTGGTATGGAAATGAATGAAACCGCTGAAGGTGACATTTTATCTCTGCCTTGGTGAGGTACCTCCTGAAGGGTAGTGTTAGTGTTTCTCTTTAAAAGTGGGAGAGCTCAAGGAGGTCAGATTGTGAAGACTTTAGAAAGTCAGATATTTAAAGAGAGATTTCAGTTATCATCATCTACTTTGTAGCAGTAAAATTCTATTTGAACATTTGGGCTTTAACATTCTTATAAAATCAGTTTAGTTCGATTTTAAACAGATTTTTTTTTTTTTTATTGAGACTATCTTCCTAAAATTTGTTTGTTTATTTTTATTTTTTTTTTGAGGCAGGGTCTCGCTATGCAGTTCAGGCTGGCCTTCAGCTCACTTTGTAGCCCAGGCTGGTCTCAAACTCGAAATGATCCTCCCGCCTCAGTGTCCCGAGTGCTGGGATTACAGGCGTGCGCCACCACGCCCGGCTCCCTAAAATTTATGAAGTATCAAATCTTGGTATGTTCCCAGTGTAGGGCCCTCACATTGTAAGGTGTTGTCATCAGAGGGTGGGGCATCTCTAAGTATCAAATGAGGATTGGATGTTTTTCTCTTAAAGACATGAAATAGGTGTATTTGAGTCTCACAAGTCTGTTGGGCCTGTAGTCTTAGCTGATGTGGGACAAATGGCAGAGCCATTGCCCAGCACCCACGAGACTCAGGGTTCAATCTCCAACACTACCACCAAAAAAAAAAAAGAAAATTGACTTGCAAAAATATTCAAACAATAATACAAACAGTGATACTGTTGATTGAAAAACTGTGATAATAATCACTTGTCACGCTCTTGGCTTATTCTTTCAGTCCCTTGCTGCTTTTTATTGGAGTTTCTGGTAGTGTTATGTGAAGTATTTCTATCCATACAAGATTACGGACAGCCTTCATCCGTCAGTTTCGTGGGTGGTATAGTGCCGTGGAGAACTTTATTTGTAGACTCGTCCTTCCTTCTTTTCTTCCTGCTCTGTCCTTCCCTCCAGCCCCGTGGCATTCCTGCTCTGGAGCAGACCCCGTCGTGCGTCGCTGGGACTTTTCCAGTAGCCTGTACTGTGCGCTGGACTGTGCACTAGTCCATCGCGCTCTGTGATGTGGCAAAGTCCCTCAGTCCCAGGGGAGTCATCCGTGGTCTCAGACAACTCTGGATCTTTTAGGCAGAGAATCCAGATGTCATCCCCTCTGTTGACCTTCTTCCTGTTCCCTTGAATTGGTGTCCTTTGTACTGAAGATGTCACATCTCAGAGAATGCTTAGTTTTGTATATTCAGCTAAAAGTTGGATAAAGCTCTAAATATTATTATAAATTATACTCTTCAAAGTAACCTGAAATTTGGAACTAGCGTGGATAAAAGTCAGTTTTCGAATCACTAAAGTCAAACTGAAGCCTATTATAATGTGAAAGACTAGGTAGATCAAAAATACTTGCTGTTCCAGGGTCAGGGAAGGAAAAATCGTAGTTCATGTTGTTCTTGTAATTAAGCCTTAGAAGTTCTTCAGAAGCGCGCAGTGTCTGAGGGCCGCCTTTGTGCGCAAGCAGTGCCAGCTGTGGAGGCATTGT